GGGGGGGGTAGGGGATAAAGAGAAAAATGTACTGATCACTTTTCTCTTTTGAAGTTGAGAGACCAGACTCGGATTATTAGTCTCAGATCAGAATTCACTTAATGACTAAAAGGAAATAGAGAAGATCAAGAGAAAATGCGCTTCTAATACTTTGACTTACTTAATGTGTGGGCAGGTGCAAACACTGTCCATCATTGCCTAGAATTTTGGTACACTCAATGCAACTAGAGGTAGTTGGCAAGGAGCATCGCTGAGGTCACAAAAAGAGGGACGGTAGAATTTCGCGAGGCTCCTTAATTGGTACGTCTCTAGAAAATCTCACCTATACACACATCGAATTCTCTTCACGCGTTTATTATGATGGCTTCTAGAAGACTAATTAAAACCTCTGAAATGAGACTGGGTTACTTTCAGCGTGGCAGTGGAGGTCTTGGAGACCAGGGCCTCTTTCTTGGAACGGGTTCAGGAGCAGTGTGCTGGGTGAATGCTGAGGAGTTAGGTCCCACAATTGAAATTTTCCACGAGCATTCTGACGGCATTAATCGACTGGAGCATTCACGAGATGGCCGTCGTCTCCTCATGTGCTCGCAATGGGGTGAACCTTCCCTTTGCTTGGCTCGTTTCGCCCTGCGTGGCAACTCTGAGGGCGGCAATACAACATCTGCAACTACTCCATTCATTTCTACCATGGATGAACCAATGTAAGAAATTGATCATTATTCACAGCTAGCTGTTGTAGTATGTATAGGATGAATTGTCTGTTGTAAGATCTTCAATTCACTAAAGTGTAGAAGTCACTCCTCCCACGCGCGCAGCTCCTATTCAAGGAAACGTGGTCTTCACGTCTCCAAATGACCTTTAATTAGCTTGAGCTTGGGGCTGTCTCCTCCACTGAAAGACTTCCCCACCTACACCAAAAGTAGGAGAGTAAGTGTGTATCGGCATGGTCCTCAGCAGTGGAGTGGTTCTCTTTGTTCACCGATTTTCTTGTCTCCCCCTTCTGGAATAAAAGGAGTTGTCGTGAGGCTTGTGCCACACCCGATATCTTAATCAGATTTGTTCCTTAATACTTTAGGCCTCATTACCTAATAGCATATTGGCTACAGAGTTGTGTGATTTAAAAAAGGGCCTTTTGATTTCAACTTATGTGGTGTGAGGCTGGCTATAACGCATTTCTTCCTTGCAGAATTCCTAGAAGTGGTTGCAAACACGCGGAGTTCAGTCGTACTGGTCTGCAAGACATGATTGTCGCAACCTATGGAAAGGTTGCAAAGGTGAGACGACACCCTTTTCGGCATTTGTCTAATCGTCCTAAAATTGATTTTCTTTTTTTTTCGTGTAGATATTTGACGTGGCAACAGGTCAGTGTATTACTGAACTCTTTTCTTCGGCGAAGCAGAGCGAATACGACGCCAACAAGGCCACCTTCTCGATGGACGATCATCTCGTGCTTAACGATGGTGTTGTTTGGGACGTGCGGAGTCGGGTCACCCCGACGTCCCCTGTGCACAAAATTGACAAATTTCAGGATGTTATTTCGGGAGTATTTCATCCCAATGGTTTGGAGATTATTGTCTCCTCGGCAGTCTGGGATATGCGAACATGGCGACTCCTCAGGACTGTTCAAGCACTAGATAAGTTCGAGTCAACCTTCTCAGAAAAAGGAGACATTATATACGCTGGTAGGCATCTGCTGCCCTCTCACTATAATAACTTCCTTGTACCCTCGCTTTGCTTTCCTGTGAAGTTAGTCACAAAATCTAGGGCGTATAACCCCCCCCCCACCCCCAAATTCTAGGCCACTATATTATCTATTGAAATTTTTTCTTAAAGACCAGAGGATAGCTTTCTGACTGCATCCTTTAAAGTGCGATTCTAATAGGTCCGTGTTTTGGCAATTAGTTTGATATATTTAACTAAAAGATGTCGCATAAACTAGTTAGTATGTGTGTGTGTGTGTGCAGCTAATTTTGTTGTTCCGCCTTGGTGAACGGCTGATTTTCTGAGTTAACCGCTAAATTCAATTAGATTAATCTGTCCTCTGCCTTCGTTTCCTTTCAATGGTCTTTTTTATCGGTTTGTCAGCATGTCTCGACCGCAGTTCAAATTCCACCATAGAGGATTATCAGGAAAGTTCAATACAGACGATATTCCGCACCATGGATGCATTGGACTACAGTCTCATTGCCTCAATAGACGTGAAGCATCCTATCGTCCAATTAGCCGTCGATACAAGGGACATGCGTTTGGCCGTTGTGGAGAATTTCCATGACAACAGTGACAACCTTGGCCAATGCCGAGTCTACTCCATTGGACAAAAGAAGGTAATTCCCACTTCTGTTGAGGCTTTAAATAGGCTGCGGGGCAGGATTTTCTACTTATTGAAATTATTTACACAAATTGATGCGATGAAGGGGGTATCTTTCATTTCGTCTTTTCGTTTTGCATTTAGTTAAATACACAAATGACTATTACTCATCTCTGGCTTTCAGTGCATTTTGAACGTTAGTTCCCTAATTGGGACATAAATACTTATGATTGGGATTTCAAAAATGAGGAAGTTATTGTAATTTGTCACTTGAACACTTGTAACTTCCATTTTGAAAGTTGTCTTCTATTTGTAACATTTCAGTAGTACTTATTTTCGTGCTTCTATCTTAGTCGGCACGAGAGATGGAGAACGATGAGGATGATAACGATTCAAGCTCCAGTCACCATGACGACGACGAGATGGATGACATGATTTTCAGGCGGTCGTCTTATTCGCAATCATCTGACGAAGATAATGTTGAGGAAGATTCGACAAGTTCTGAAAGTGGTGAAAGCTCAAGTGGTTCGGACTCCTCGTGGGTAACCGAAGAAGAAATGGAATTATCCACTATACCCGAAGAGAACGGAAGTCCTGAAGACAGCAGTTCATGAAATGCTCTGATGTATCTTTTCCCTTTCTGTGTATATGAAACGCTAATGTTGGTTTGTTTTCCTCTGCGCTAAATTGGCGAATTCAGCTCTATAACAAATGAAATTTTCTGTAATTAAATAATTAAAGTAATTGGAAGCTGGTTTGACGGACAAATTGGAGTGAATTTGTTGCATGCAAACATTACTGCATAAGGGGTAGTCACTTCAATCTTAAAACAAATTCCAGGTAGAGTGTAACTTTCAGATTCTCCGGTTGGCCTTCACCTTGAGTGTCACCGCGTGAAATCTGAGCATTGGGGGTTGATTTAAAATAGCTGAGATTTTCACTAATTTATGTTTCATTAAGGCCTTCTTGTAGATTAGTTGGCGGAGCCTTTAGATAGCAAATGGGGCATCATCTTGTGGCAAAGGTAGCAGGAGGTGTTGGGTTTTGTGACTTCGCGGTCTCCGGAAGTATTATTCATCCACCCCATTTGAACAAGTGCTTATTGGGATGAGTAGGCTTGCATCATCTTCATTCGGCTGCGCGTCTCTTCTGCAGATGCTTAGGCTTAACAATTGCCATATGTACACCTGTATCATCATTCTCAGCGGCTTCTTTGTAATCTTCGCCATAGTCGTCAGGATAATCGATACCGTCGTCGTCAGATGGAGCACTCGAGGTCGTGGAGGTAGTTGTGGCGTTTCCATCTGAAGTGCTTGATTGCTCTATGGGCACATTTGATTCCGTAAAGGTTGTTACGGGCTGGGTGGTGACAAATGGAAAAATAATAAATGCAAGGAGAGTTAAGTTTGCCATTGTAGGGTTTCAAGCATTCGTAATTTTGGCCTCGTTTAAATACCTTTCGAGAGGAGCGTGACCGAAATACGCCTGCACTTTCTTGGGTGACATGCCCTTTCTTACAAATTTTGAGACTCGTACCGCTGAATCAACTATCTTTTGTGAATAAAGAAGGGGGGTGGAATCATGTCCCGTATCAGGCGCTAAATTTGCAAAGAAACACAAGGACTTCAACTGACAGACAACGTGAGCGTGTTTAATTTTATCTTGATTTGAAAGAATTTAGGTTCGTACAATGGTGTATGCGATAGCCTTACCTCCAAGTGGTTCACCCTGGGCAACGCCAAAAAGTCTATAACCGGACAGTTGACTTCTGACTTCAAACCTCTATGACCCCAACATGTCATACTCCACCACTTCCACAGTACTCACCATACCTTTATCTCCACTTTTGTGTCTGACTCTTTTACATCTGTGAATCACTCTTCTCTTCTCCCTCTCGAATTTTTATGCCATTGATGTTCCACCCCATTATTATGAGTTAATAAATGAGTTTTTTGTCACTATCGAATTCTTGTGATCCAACACACCTCCAAATCCAACTTTTCTCGACAGAAGTTACGCACAACATTTGCTTCAGCTGGCTTCAGCTCTAAAATTGATTGATTCAAGGTTAGGTACCTTTATTCAAGAGTAACCCATCATTTCTAATTTGGAAATTGACTTAACTAAGGAGCCTCATTATAAATTGCGGTCAAGTTGATTGTGGCTAAATGCAGATTCACATTTTGAAAATAAATCTCCAGTCTCAACTTAACTTTTCTACGCACTAACAAAAACGGCAGTAGTCCTGTCAATGTCAAATAAGTTGACTAAAAATAGAAGAAGGCAATGAGATGTTTTCGCTCAGAGTTGGGTTTATTGACTACCCTGGAAAATAGTTATGTAGCAAGAAATTGAAAATACATGAAGTTATCAAAGCTGAGTAAATAGCGAGCAATCTCATAGAAAAAGAGAAAAAGTTGCATAATTATTCTTTGAAGTTCTGGCTACATTCCCAACTTCTACCCAACTCCCACGTCTTTCATTTCTTTATAATAATAATTTCCTCAGGTCAACGTCTCAGCTCCTGTTTGAGCTTTGCCGCTACTTCTTTGAAGAACGTTATTTATTTATGTCAAATGGCAGGCGTTTTGATGGTTATCGTTATCCCTTTAGTTGACTTCAAGCTTCACAGGGGGGATGGAACATCAAAATCAAAAAAAGTCGAGAGGGGGTGGGGGTGGAGAACAGAAGAGTGTTCCAAAGACGATGGTAGAAAAAATGTGATTTGAGTACTGTGAAAGTGATCAAATTTGACATACAGTGGGGGGTGATGGTAGTTTGAAGTGAGAAGTCAACTGCCGGTTAATAGACTTTTTTGTCGTATGAGTAAACGTTGCCCAGGGTGCACCATGTGGAGGTAAGTCTATTGCACACCCCTTGAAGAACGTTATTGATAAGTGGTTCGGTGGTGGTGGGGAGGGGAGGGGAGGGGAGGGGAGGGGAAACACACGTCTCCTTGAAGGCAAAGGCTACGGGACTGATGCCTTTTCAGAGGAGTGTGTATTACCAAACACTGGTCACTGAGTGAGTGATGGATTGTGTGCTTCCTATTCGAGAAGCTACCGGCTACCTTCTCTCTACTCAAGTGGAATATTGCCATGAGTTGCCTTCTTATTGCCCTGGAAATTTAACATGGATGGGGCATATAGTCACACAAAAAGTCCATTTTGGATTAATTTGAAGTTCGCGCATTCTTGTATCTCCAACTTATCTGGCATGGTATGGTATCGTAGAGAATGAAGGTTAATTTGAAAGGACTTATAGGGGGGGGGGGGAGTGACAAAATGAAGGAAAGTGTCTGATCTGCTACAACGGATTCCATCCTACCCCATAATGACTTGATTTTCCTACTCTGTTGAGTCTGCTTCCACTTCTCCACTAGAAGAGCGTTTGATGACTTTCAGCCGCACTGTTTGCACCGTCCATTGAAATAAATAAGGATACCAAATGAGTAGCCTCATTACGCACAATCTTTTGCCCTGCTTTCCATAGCTCGAGTTCTACTCGTACAGTGATGGTGCTTGTTGCGTTTCAATTCTCGTTTCAAAATTTAGCTGATTCCTCACTGGGTGCTCAATGCAAGCGTGGCCAAAGTGAACTCTTTCATCTTCAAACTTGGGTAATGGCCATTTTTTATCGACATTGGCACTTGGAAGACCATTTATTTTGCTGGTAAATAGCTGAAAGCGTAACCCGTTTAGTGTTCAAAAGTAAAATTCCTCCCAAGCCTTGAAGACTTTCAAGGATGTCAGTAGAAATGGACCCCTTTCTTCTTCAAAATGCTGAGGTGAATGCTTTAGAAGACATCAAAATACTCATTTGTAAGTAACATGATGCAAACTAGTCAATTATTATCGATTTACCTAGCATTATTAATACAAAACATGAACTTCTTTTGGTTAGGCTTCCTAAGTACTTCCAATGAACAATGATTCTACTAGCCTGTCAAAACAAGGTTAGAACCCAAGGTCACAGGTGCTCAAATGAACACATTTAATATGCCGGCTTAATTGCATCTTTCATTTTTACTCACTCACATTTCATTATCATCATTCCATCCATTCCAGTGTTTGGCTTGGATCTTCGATGCGATTCAAGTTTGGCGCCATTCACCTAGTTAGTATGATCAAGTTCGATCCTATTTTGTAGATCCGCAGTACCTCGTGTGGTTGGTTTTTTTAATGATGGACGAAATTGGCCCTGACTGGTGTGAATCTTCTGCTTCGTTATGCCCAAATAAACTTGTACGATCAATTATTGAAAATGTCCACCGAGAAGTCAAAAAATCGCGATAGTTATGAGAAACGTTGATTTAGTACTTTATCACAAGTGAGCTCCACTGAGCAGGGCTGTCCTTAATTCAGGCGAAAAAGGTCAAAATTTAGGAATAGGAGTGGTTAAAAATCCAAAATAGGTCAATTTTGGTGTGCGCTTTCTGACATTCACAGCATTTTAAGCGAATGAATGTGAATATTCACTTTTACAGACCAACAACCACAATTTTACACACTCAATTTTAACAGCCAACTTTCACCGAACGTTCTCAGAAACTCGAAAAATGGAGATTTCGAGTTAAGACTGCTTAATTTCAAACAGGAGCAGTGTGTTCTGTCACATGGCAATTCCATATGGTTGCATGCTACTTTGGATCCGATAAATTCAATTTTGAGTCAGTTTCATGTGGTTATATGTTTTAAGTAATTTTTTAACAATGAAATTACTTTCTGACTGTGCAGACGAAAATTCGGAGAATTCTTGCTCTCTATTGGTACCAAGCTTCGATGTTCTTTATGACGCCCGAAAGATACTGTAGTTTTATGATTGTGCTTTGTAATTTTCCAATCGGTCAACAGAAAATTGATACAAAACAATGCGCATGACTCACTGACATACCCCTTTACCTATTACTAACAAGTCGGTTAATCAAAGACCTTTTCTTTGCAACATTTAAAACTGATTTACAATTATTATTCACTAGACGAATTGCATTCGTGGGTGGAAGGAGACTTTTCAATGACAAAGTTTATTTGGGGTACATGCTACTTATAACGCCTTAATTGAATAAATATCGCATGCCACTTATTGGTGAAAGCAACACAACTTTATTCACCGTTTGAAGCCGAATAAAAAAAAGTGAATTGCGGTGGCATATATGGAGTGGGAGTCAATGGCTGTCTCACTGCGCCTGCCTAATACCTGTTGAACAGGGAAATTCAGTAAACGTATTTCACAAATTTCCTAAATCACCTTCAATCTTCCATTTTAAACGATCTGTTTGTACTAATCTTACAAAATAGCATCAATCCTTTACAATGTTTCGGGCTTCACAGATAGGAGGAGGAACGTCAAAGTGGCAAAAGTCGAGAGGGGGACAGAATAATGACTCAGACGTTAAAGAGACAGACAGAAAAAGGTGAGGTGAGTACTGGAGGTAGAATATGACAAACAGTGTTGTCATGGTAGTTTGAAGTGAGAATTTAACTGCCGGTTAATAGACTTTTTAGCCGTATGAGTATACGTTTCCTAGGGTGACCACGTGGAGCTAAGTCCCGTTTCAGAGAATGGTTTTCAACTTTGCTTAAATTATGAGCTATAAGTAGATTTCTACTATCACCATTTTAGTAGTGCTTATGCTTTTGAAATGACGTGTGTGGTAGATTTACCTCCTTTTGGTGCTCACTGGTCAACGTATACTCATACGGCAAAAAGTCTATAAACTGGCAGTTGACTTCTGGCTTCGAACTGCCATGATCTTTCTGTATGTCATATTCAACCACTTCCACAGTACCCACTTTGTGTCTGTCTCTTTTTCGTCTGTGAATCCCTCTTCTTTTAACCCTCTGCGAGGCTCGAAGTCAACTAAAGGGCCAATGATAACCATCATAAAGCCTGCCATTTGATACAAATAAATAACCAAATTCAAGTCATCATGGCAACAACGAAGATGATGTTGAGGATGTTTCGACGAATTCAGTAAAAGGTGAAAGCTCAGGTGGTTCGGACTCATAGTGGATAACCGAGGAAGGAATGGAAATGTCTACCTGAAGAGAACGGAAGTCCTGGAGATGGCAGTTCAGGAAATGCTCTAATGTATCTTTCCCATTTCTGTGGACATGAAACGCTAATGCTAATTGAATCTTTGTCCATTATGTTAAAAAACAAAAGCTGATTCACTAAAAAGGTTCTTTACTGGAAAATATCGTGAAATGAGTGATTATGAAGCTGCGAGAGAATTCTTCTCCCGGGCATATAATTCAGCCTAATGGTCTCTAATTAATTTGGAAAGTTATCTCCAAAAGAGCTAAACTACTTAATTATACGCATGGCGTTAAGGACAACGATACGCAAATAGCGATGTCAGCACCAATGACATCTCTATTTCCTCGAAAGACTTACCTCCACGTGGTGCATCC